GTGGACGTAACTGCCAAAAGGAATGATATTTTAAAGAGGAAAAAAGAGAAAGGCGAGTGAAGGCGCGAACCCAGGACTTCATTGTTGCAACGCAAGCTTGATGAATGAGCGAAAAAACAAAGAAAAAAGCGAAAGGTGATTCGAACTCAATCTGCTCGCTGCAACTCAAGTTTGATGGCGGACCGTTTGAGTTGGAAAAAAAAAGGCTGCCAGTGGTGCGAAGGCAGACTGCACGCTGCGACGCAAACATAATAGCGGAGCGCAACTGACTTGGCCCCAGCGGCATGGGTTCAGCGGCGAATTTTTCCTTATATTTATATTTAACAAATCGTTATTAAGTGAATATCTGCTGTGTTTAATACCGTAAGTCGGGGTAGCGTAAGTCGGTGTATTAGTGCACTTACTTTTATTTTACTTACTCAATATTACTTAATTTTATATTACTAAACATAGACTTGTTTTAAATTTATTAATTCCCATTTTGCTTTAGCAATTACTAATTTTTAACAATTCGATTGGAAAATTAACAATTAAAAGGGTGAAAAGTATTTCCTAAAATGAGCGGGAAAAGCACATTCGTCTCTGTAACCAAAACCCATCAATTGTTATGTAAATGGAACTTTGTGGAAAAATCATTGCCGCTAATTTCGACATTCGGCTTAACAATGTTCAAAAATACCTAGATTTAGAAAGTTCGTGGTCTGATCTTACCGATAAAATGGCTGCAATTGATGCAAAACTCAGAAAACGCTTCGAATAAATCACTTTTAAACGCACGAACAGAAAAATCAAACCGCTCGCAATAACAATAATTGACCGCTCGCAACGAATTGTCGCAGTTTTATTGTTGCGTCGCCACGAAATTTAATGTAAAACGTTTGGATTCTTCACCGAATTTCGTGACTTTTGCGCCTCCCTGTCGCGGAAGAGAGATTTTTGCGTATCATCCCTTGCATATACATTCGCGTTTACAGTAATATCAATTGACAATCTAATATTCTCGTGTCTGTGAATAAAAGTTTCCATTTTATAATAATCCTTTGAACCGGAAAAAGATTAGACTCGGAATACTGTAACTCCCCTTTTTAACTACCAATCTATTAATAGAATTTAACTTTTGTTAAATTAAAGTATCCAAAGTTTTACAGATAAATGCTTACGCGTGACAAAGACTATACGTTCCGAAATATACGGAAGATTATGAGATCTATCGAGTGACTAAACACTTCTCTTCAAATAGATTTATTCGTCCATTTAAAACTAATTTTCTGTGGAAAAAAAAAACATTTTATTAATACCTCTTTGAAATTATAAATTAGATTAACACGATAATTAGAAGCGTGTAAGACCAACAATTATTTTGTTGAAGAAATAATACCAATTAAAAGTGTAGACAGACTTGGTTTAAAAATGTGAAAATTGTATTATTATTCAACAGATATTATGAACAAAATGACTTTTTNTAAATTATAAATTAAATTAACACGATAATTAGAAGCGTGTAAGACCAACAATTATTTTGTTGAAGAAATAATACCAATTAAAAGTGTAGACAGACTTGGTTTAAAAATGTGAAAATTGTATTATTATTCAACAGATATTATGAACAAAATGACTTTTTTAAACTATCGAACAATAAATTTTGAATGAAATCTAAATATAAATATTATTTGAACATATATTTTCCAGCTGATTACTATCAACCAAAAATGGGAACGAATTTCCGAATTGAATAAACTTCGCAAGATTATTCGACCGTACAAACCAAAATAATTATATTGAAACAAATTAGAAATTTGCGAAGTTTATCGACATTTCTTCGATTTATTTTGTACAGTTTTTTTCTAAATTCTCAACTGAATAATAAATATGTAAGATTTTAATGTTAAAAAAGTGTATGTAATAAATTAAATGTTTTGAATGTAAGTTTCTAAACGAATTATAAATCGGCTTTTTCAAGAATCATTTATAATGATTCTATAATACTCTTATAGTTTATGACAAATCTACTGGCATATGAATTTTTCGTTTCTGACTGTAACTTTTCGAGTTATCGCAATTTTAAGAGTAAAAATATTATTATCGTGACTATCGTTATTCCCATTAGATCAGATTATTGTCGCATTTAAACTAAACGCTTATAAATATATCTGAAATTTTTTCACGAATTATAGTGCAAAATTGTCTGACGAATCTAATGGCGTTTGAATTTTTTGTTTCTGACCGTAACTTTTATCCCAATGTTTATAGTGAAAATTCGATTATTTGTGACTATCGTTATTCCCATAAGATCTCATTATTGTCGCCTTTAAATTTAACGCTTATAAATATATTTGAAATTTTTACAGATATTATAGTGCAGAATTGTTTGACTAATTTAATGGCGTTTACATTTTTCGTTTCTTACTGTAACTTTTTTAGTTATCGCAATCTTGAAAGTTAAAATTCGATCATTTGTGACTATCGTTTTTCTCATAAGATCTCATTATTGTCGCATTTAAATTTAACGCTTATAAATATATCTAAAATTTTATGCGTAGCTGCCTTCGCTCGCCGCATTTTTTTGTTTGACACGTTAGAAGGTGCACGTTAATTCTAATCTTGTTCGAGATTTCTATGTTTAAAAGTTATTTTTGAATTAAGATGAGTGTAAAACAGAGATTTAATGAAATAATGGACGAGCTCGTTGCAAGCAAGATTGATAAGAACTTTTATCTTAATAGGGACAAAAACGCAAAATGTTTGGAATAAGTAAAAGCTGTAAAGAACATGAAAAAGAAACAAGCTGTTCATTACAGACGTATAAAGCGTTACGAAATTTACTATAGGCGGCGAAGAAAAACTAATTGCGCCTACGAAGGAGGAGGGTGGAGTAATAAGGTATTACATTTGTTACGAGGACTTATTCGACATTCTCGAAGAAACGCATGTTGCTGTTGGCCACGGTAGAAGGATACGGATGCTTTATGAATGTAACCGCAAGTATAAAAATGTAACAGTTGAGGCCATTATGACATATTTAAAGCTATGTCAATTTTGCCAAAAGAAACAGAAGACTTTGAAAAAGGGCATTTTCGTCAAACCTATACTTCACAGTGAAATGAACTCACGCTGTCAAGTTTATCTAATAGATCTACAAACTACTCCAGATGGAAATTATAAATTTATTTTAGTTTACCAAGACCATCTTACCAAATTTGTGATTTTTCGTGCGCTTCAAGCTAAACGCGCCGTAGAAGTTGCATACCATCTTTTGGATATTTTCACCACTTTTGGAGCGCCGAGCATCCTTCATTCCGATAATGGTCGAGAATTCTCTAACCAAGTTATTGAGAGTTTATGCTCCATGTGGCCGGTTGTAAAAATCGTACATGGAAAGGCAAGACATAACCAAAGTCAAGGATCAGTGGAGCGTGCTAATCAAGACATAGAAAATATGTTGATCACGTGGATAGAAACCAATCAGTTATCAAAGTGTTCAGAGAGTTTAAGATTCATCCAGTCGATAAAAAATAGAGCATATCACGAAGGAATCAAATGTTCTCCCTACGAAGCAATGTTTGGCTGTCCAATGAAAATGGGCCTTGCAACTTCAGCAGTCCCTGGTGATGTGATTAGAGTTATAAGATCTGAAGAAGATTTAGAGAAGTTGTTGCATTCGCATGACAATACGGAACAAAATAATGACATCGATAATGCAATCGAACAGGACAAGGAAGAAAGCATTGCTGAAAATGAGTCAGAAGGGGTTAATTAATTTTCAAATTTATAATAAGGAATGATTTCATAAAAACGCTTTATAGATCATTAATTATTATTATTTTCCACATTTTATGACCTAAGTTTCGATCTAATGTGCCCACGCTGTAAAAATTTTCAAACAGATTTTTTACTCTTTTTCACCACATTAGGGTTGAATTTCGTATAATGTTGTCTTAGCACGCTTAAACTTTACAAAAGGAACACACCCTCAAATTTTTATGTTTCCAGCACCAATAGTTTTGGCTCTGCGTTAATTATCCTACCAGGACTTGTTCTTTTATATACGAGTATATAGATGACTAAACTACATAATAAGTAGGTAGCTTTCATTTGATTTGTTACCTTGTTTTGATCTCTTAAAAAATAACTTAGTTATATTACTTTTCCTTTGATCTTTTACATAAATAAGCAAAAAATTGCGCTTTTTCGAACTTGAAATGTATGTTCAGCATTAATAAAAGTTACCAAAATGATTAATATACTGTGTTTTTGTTATTCATTACTCCTGTCATTAGGTATTCGGTATTCGGCCGAATAGTGATTAAAACATAGGCCAGTGGTTCTCAACCTTTTTTGTTGATGTACCCCATTAGCCCATTAGTTGTTTCTCAAGTACCCCTTATATTTTTGTATGTAAATTTTATAATTACTGCGTTAGATGTATACAGCCCTTATAACTGAACGTCATAAAAAAACTTCAACTAATATTAAGTAATGCGCGCATGCAGTGACACACATTGCATGGTGGAGTACGATCCAGGCCTCGTTATTCCTAATACCAGTAGTCCAGTAAAAACACGAAAAGCCCTGATGTTATCGAGCGAAAATTATAGAATAGAAAAAAAAATTTTTACTATTCTAAAATTAATGCTCGGTTAAACCGTAATTTTACTAGACTACAGGTTCACTCGGCACTAACGTACAGGCAAATCGAGTGGATAAACAAGTTGTTTGGACTGTTAAAAAAAAATCGGTGTTCATACTGGAATATTTTAAAGCAAGTTTTTATTGTTTCTTGTTTGTTTCTTGTGTTATTAATTTACAGCAAATTAATTAACATACGCCATTTTATAATGAAAGTTAGATGTACTCCTTCGATTTACGCTCGTACCCCTATGGGTACATATACCCCCGGTTGAGAATCATTGACATAAGCCGAATAGGCCGAATACCGAATAGTAAAAGAATATTCGTTGCATCATTAATAATTATGTTATTTATATTTGTACAAACGGAAATTATTTATACAATAATGCTTTATTTTATTCAAATTATTTTCAGTAAGAATAAATTACACTATAGTACTGTACATGAGGAACATTAAGTACAAATATTACGGCTGCCCGTTACAATCTTTTTTCATTCCTGGAGGAAGAGGGATATCCTGGGAGAAAGATACAGACCAGTTACAAATTTTCCTCTTTTTATCAAATACCAATTTTCCGGGACAATCTTTAATATGGGGAGTCCAATTGCTACAATGAACCCATTTATGAGGATCAGGATGTGGGAAAAGACCGTTTGCTTCGGGACATTCTAATATGCCTTCTGGTTTGTCTGTTATCACAGCTGCCGTTGTTTTCACGCTTTCGGTAGTTGCGTCAGTTTTGGTGAACTTTCCATTAAAGGATGAAGTCATCCCATTACTACCCGTGGTAGAAAGAATTTTGGTATCAACAGTAGAATCTGAAGGAAATTCGGTTACAATTTCCGTTATTGGTTCTTCTGTACCTATTTTTCGATTTTCTGTAGGTATACCAATTACCGTAGCTGTACTTTTGCTGACATCTGGATATGATACAGTGGATGCTTCATTTGTATTTCCTCCTTCATTTCCACTATTGTCTTCTGTAGAAACAAGATTATCTTTGGTAATTCTGCTGATGTCAGGATATGATACAGTGGATGCTTCATTTGTATTTCCTCCCTCATTGCCACTATTGTCTTCTGTAGAAACAAGATTATCTTTGGTAATTCTGCTGATGTCAGGATATGATACAGTGGATGCTTCATTTGTATTTCCTCCCTCATTGCCACTATTGTCTTTTGTAGAAACAAGATTATCTTTGGTAATTCTGCTGATGTCAGGATATGATACAGTGGATACTTCATTTGTATTTCCTCCTTCATTGTCATTATTTGTGACTTGGATATGTGTAGAGTCAATATTTTCTTGTGTTATTTCTGTAAAGACAACATTTGTAAATTCGCTAGAATCTACACTTGACTTAGTGAACAATTCACTTTTGGTTTTGTCTTCAATTTCATTGTTATCAGTCGTGACTTCACCATAATCATCGGTAATTCTGGTAGTTTCATCGAAAATTGAATTAGTTACAGTTTCTCTTTCAGAAACCGATTCTCTTGTAGTCATATCTTCGATACCAATATTATCTTTTGTAACTTTACTGGTAACTGGATAAGATGTTGTTATTTTTGTCTTAGTAGGCTCAATTGTAGTTGTTTTAATTTTCTCAATTGGTTTCTGTGTAGTTTTAATATCTGTAACAAATTAATTAAAATTATTAATTAAATTAAAATATAATCATCGTAAGTAAAACACACATACACACACTCACACACACACACACACGTATATATGTGTGTGTGTGTGTGAGCCCGGATTTAGTAAACCTTTTTTGGCTATAACCTTTTTCGCATTACTTCTATANAGGATATGATACAGTGGATACTTCATTTGTATTTCCTCCTTCATTGTCATTATTTGTGACTTGGATATGTGTAGAGTCAATATTTTCTTGTGTTATTTCTGTAAAGACAACATTTGTAAATTCGCTAGAATCTACACTTGACTTAGTGAACAATTCACTTTTGGTTTTGTCTTCAATTTCATTGTTATCAGTCGTGACTTCACCATAATCATCGGTAATTCTGGTAGTTTCATCGAAAATTGAATTAGTTACAGTTTCTCTTTCAGAAACCGATTCTCTTGTAGTCATATCTTCGATACCAATATTATCTTTTGTAACTTTACTGGTAACTGGATAAGATGTTGTTATTTTTGTCTTAGTAGGCTCAATTGTAGTTGTTTTAATTTTCTCAATTGGTTTCTGTGTAGTTTTAATATCTGTAACAAATTAATTAAAATTATTAATTAAATTAAAATATAATCATCGTAAGTAAAACACACATACACACACTCACACACACACACACACGTATATATGTGTGTGTGTGTGTGAGCCCGGATTTAGTAAACCTTTTTTGGCTATAACCTTTTTCGCATTACTTCTATAAGATAAAACGAAATAACGCTTAAACTCATATGGGAAAATATCTTTTTTCCCCAACACTTAATAAAAAACTGGAAGGATATGATCATATCTTTCTCCGAATTCACTTCCTTTCAAAGATGACACATCTTCCTAACGTGTCACCCGGAAATAACGATCGAAATTCTACTATTGGCCGCGACGTATGATAATTCGTAATAAGGTCATGGTAAAAACCCTTAAAGGACCCCCTAATAAAAAAGGAGGGGATCGATGACAATCGGCGTTCGTTTGTCATCATCAACAGTTTGTCCTTTGTGTCCTCCTCCGATTTTTTTTGGATACAGCTTAAGTAGCCGTTGCTCATCCTTTGCCCTTCTCAAGACATCAAAAGATTTCCATCCTTTCGATTCATCGAAACTTCTTTCGAACCTTGCAGACCACGATTCGAGAATTGGGAACATCCCTGTATAACACGGTGTTTTCATAGCACGGGTTCACTCTAACACGGTTCGGGAATTGGGTAAAACCCTCGTACAACATGAAATGTAATAAAGGGTGCGTTCTTTTATACCTCCGCGTAACTCCGCGCGAGCATTTTAATTGTTTTCGTGGCTACTTTGAATGCTCTTTCAACAAATATTCAATTTAATGATTAAAATTTACAATTGGGACCCTTTTTTGCCTCTAAAAGCTCATTTTAGAACTATAAATTCTTCCATCACGATACTATCGATAGTGCGGGCGCAGCCATCTTTTTTCACCGTCGTTCCTAGCCTACAAACAGCAGCGCACTCCCGTTGCAGAGCGACTGTTATTAACGAACGCACCCAAAAACTATTACCAGTTGATGATGCTCATGCTGAGATCATCATATAGGGTATATATAGTACCTGCAAAGCATATGCGAAGCAGGTTAATTAAAAGAGGAGTACCTCAAGCCAGTAGCATTTAATGCTACAGGTCAGAGGGAGTGCTCCACTAAATGTATAGGGTATATATAGTATAATAATCCTCTGGTAAAATATTTACTTAAATAATAAATAAGTATTTTACCTAAAAATGAATAATAAATCCGATGTAAACAAGGATTTAACGGCATTTTTTTTATTTTTGGAACGTAACCTCCCTTTTCGTACTAGCTCTTTGTTTCGTATAACAGGGCAATTTTTTGGAACGTAACTCCCGTGTTATACGGGGTTACCTGTATATTAGAATTAATAGCGCAAAAATAGATACATTTGAATTAAAAAAAAAAACAAAGGAAATTGTAAGTTTGGACCAAGCATGCTTTAGTTAAACTTCTGTGAGTTTTTTCACTGATATTTTTATACTTTTCGACAACTTAAAATATTTACTTATTTGAATTGAATATCAATACTCACAAGAACTCTCTGCATAGATCTTATTCCTAATTTGGTTTAAAAGAAGAGAAAGTCATTTTCCTTGCTGTTCCCCATATGCTAATCCAGAGAGTTAAGTTCAAGTGATCAAGATGAGCTTTGTCCTCAATGGTTAATTCAAGTTCTCTCATAATCACCGAATCGACTCCTAACAGTACATAAAGCCTAACTCGAATCACCGCAAAGAATGGATAAAAATTATTTCCACTCCAAGTTTCCAACGACCTTCTAGCTCCACTGAATGTGCATTTTTTTAGGACCACGCCGAAGGACTCAGATATTCATCAGCCTTTCGTCCACCTTCAGAATTCTCACGCTCTTTCTGCGGAAATACGCAGCCGATGCACCTGCATATGTTAGGTGCCAGGAAGGATGCGATGTAAAAAATACAGTAGAACGTCGTTTATCCGAAAGTCGGTTATCCGAAAGAATTCCAATCGGCAAATTTAAATTTTCGTTAGTGCTGTGGCGCTGCAATCTTTGGCTATATCTTGAGCTACTCCAATATTTTTTTGGTTGGTGTGTATGTTTTAGCTGGCAGCACTGGCACTTTTGTGTGGTGTTTTTCTGAGGACTGTGTGGTGCCGAATCGAACGTTTTTAATACTAGATCAACTTCTAAAGTATATTTTTTTTGGTTTTTATATTTTTCAATATATTTATTTTGTTTGTACAAAATAAATAAATAATTTTTAACGATACAATAGCCACGATTATTATTTTAAAAAGTATACGTTAGGCTTAACATCGACGAAAATTCAACGCGAAGCGACACGCAATGGAGAAAAATTTCAACACGAGATATGTTAATATATTTTTTCGTACGTAATCGGTTATCCGAAAAATAAGTTATCCGAACGACCCCAGTTCCCAATTGATTCGGATAAACGGCGTGCTACTGAACATAACTTCTTATGTAAATAAACTACAGTAGAGCCTCGATTATCCGACCCCCGATTAACCGCCACCTCGGTTAACCGACCGTCCTAGTCGGCAAATTTCAAATGTCCGCTAGTGATGTGGCGCTACAATATTTGGCTATGTCTCGGCTACTTTAATATTATTTTTACGTGTTTTAGCTGGCAACACTCATTCGACCATGAAAGGGAGCCAGTATTTAAACGAGGCTTAATTTTCTAATTTTTAACGATACAATAGCGACGATTATTATTTTAAAAAATTTTTGTTAGGCTTAACATCGATGAAAATTCAACGCGAAGTAGGTTAATAGCGATATACTAATATACTAATTACATGGGATATAATAATATACTACACTAATAATGGATTTTTTCATACTTTTCGGTTATCCGACTTTTCAATTATCCGACCAACCCCAGTCCCCAATTGGGTCGGATAATCGAGGCTCTACTGTAGTTTCAGAAGAAAGGTTCGAATACTAGTCACCTGTCTCCTTTCTTTTACTATCTTAAACTTGCCCACAAAAGAAGAATTACAATCACCTCCCTACGTGTCAATTCTCCCGAGGAAAAAACTGACTGGTATCAGACATCCTGACGTTTACCAATGCTCATTTATCCAAAGATAACATAGTGAGAAAAGTGAAATCCTTATATTTGATATTATACTCTTGTCTGTCATATTAGCATAATTGGTTCTTAGGCTTGTCATTAGAACTAAATCACTTATATTAGATCTTGAAACAATTTACTAAGTCGTTAATTAACGTCAATTGTGATTTAATTAAATCCATCATTATATAAGGAAAATTCATGGTGTCTACGTTTAAATAGACTACCCTCTAACTCTTGTGCCTCTCATAGCCTTAATCTTGTTGACAGTTCAGCTTGCTTGAAAACTATTGAATCCGCATGTAATTATTTTTTCAATTCTCTCAAATAACAGATTATTCTGCAAAGCATAATTGTAGTGGTTACCAGAAGCGAAGCACTTGAAATTGAAAAAGTACTGTCCAACCAGATGGATTGAAAACTTCAAAAAGACGTGATAAAACCATGAAAAAATTTTTTAGTTGCGAGAGATAGTCTAAAAGCGGCAACTGAAAGTTTTCAACTAACAAATAACATTTATATAAAATTGCCAATTCCAAACTTTTTGACATAACATGCCATCTTGACATTTCAGCGTGAAGACCCGCATCTATAAAGTTGTGCTTCTTGAACAAATTTTCATAAAAAAACTAAGCTTAAAAATCATGGGCGTCGGGCAATGAAGTGTTCCGGAATATATTTTAGAAAGAAATATTTCTTATGTAGGATCACAACATCGATCTCGTATCACCGGAGAATCAAACATGGCTAGTGTTCCAAAATTAAGTAAAAAACATCAATGTCGAACTAACGTCAAACTGGCTGCTTAACATTGGCTGTTTGACGAAAAATATGGCCGTGTGACAGTGCTTATACCATTTTAAAATAAACTTAACAGACACAGTTTCATTAAACTAAGAGAAATTCTTAGAAGTTTCGACTGTTTGGTGCCTCAAAAAGCAGACAAATGTCGGATACTATACAAAACTTATGTCACTCCTACAATGCATTTTTTAAACTCTTTCCTCACATAAAAACAGGGTAATTTCATATCCACCGTAGGTTCGGCCAGGACCACGATGGGGATGGTACCGGCATATCCGAAACAGACCAACCCATAAAAAAGTACAGACGTCTGCTAAATCCGGAATCCATTAAACACAGGTTTCACTATAGTTAAATTGTCAAGTTTTCTAAAGATATATTTTCTAGAATATTTATTACGTAATAGGCGATTAAATTAAATAAAAAATTTAAGATTTATAAATTCAATTATTAATTTTAGTTTTTAAGTCTTTACGTGCCGATTAATACAAAATAATTAATATTATTATTTTATCAACTGATGTATTCCTACTTACTTTTAGGATCTTTTCGAGCTCCACAATCCACCTTATCCCAGCGATCGCAGTCCTGTCGTCTAACGTCGTATAGTTGCCCATCAGGACATTTTTTTATTTGATATTTTTTATTAGAGCAATGGTAGTATAATGTACAGTCTGGATGAGGATGATTTCCTCTAGTGGTCGGACATTTATAATGTTTCTCAAACGAACCTTCTTCAGAACTAGAACTAGAACTAGAAGAATCTACAAAAGACGAAAGACATGTTAGCACATGACAGAATGAAATTTTTAAGTGAGATAGACCAACCATCTATTCGCGCTCCGCAATCCACTCGATAATCGGATTCACATTCTCCTCGGCCTACATCAAATAGTTGACCTCCACGACATTTCTTTTCCACTGCTAGGCCATTGAAACAAGCATAATATCTTTTACAATCCAAAGGATGTGGATAATTTCCACTTGCAGTTGGGCACTTTACTTCATTATCGTCTACATCATTTTCTGAAAATAAATGCATAAATAATTACAATTAAAATCTACAATCAATTATAACATAACAAGAATTCAACTTGATTTTTACGAAATTATTTACAATAGTTAATGATTATTTCATGTAATTGATAAAACTGCAAAAAATAAAGACCTAAAATAAAAAGTATTTTCTATTAATTGTTTTTTTATTGTTATTTTTCGCCTTGTGCATCAAAAGGGCTTTTTCTCAAACCCATAGTGAGTTCGATCAGCCTCTCAATGTGGCGGCCGGATGGTGAGAGATAAGACCTGACATATCCGGCACAAACCGCAATTATACAATTATAAATGTACAATAATTATAACTATCACTTTCATTCCAAAAAACAACTGTCAGTGGGTTTATACAGGTATTTCAGGAAACAATGATAGAAATGAAATGTGTCCGGATTTTAGAAAAACTACAGAAGACGACTCATATATAGCTAAAATTAAAAAACAGAATTCTCACCTTTGTTATTAGGTCTTTCACCACAATCAACTCGATAACTTCTTTCACAGTCACCTCTCTCTACATCGTATAGCTGACCAGATGGACAGACTTTTAAGGTAGCTCTCCCCCGACTACAGGAATAGTAGCGACTACAATCCTCAGAATTTGGATAATTCCCTTTTGACGTCGGGCATTCAAAATGTTGATGATCGGAGACACCTGAATAAACATTTATGATCGAATTATTCTAAATAATACACAAAATAGACAAAAAGTAAATAATTTACCTTCTGGATCGAATCGATCACCACAGTCTACTTTGTAATGTTTCTCACACTTTTTCTTACTTGCATCAAATAATTTGCCTTTTGAACAACTCTTGAATGTCCATTTCCTATTGTCACATTCGTAGTAAGTGCTGCAATTTGTGTCATCTGGATAACGCCCACGAGAGGAAGGACAGGTAAAACCCTGCTTATCGTCATCTTTATCTGTAATGATTAAAATTTAAAACTTTCCGATAAAAATGAAGTTTTAATAAATTAAAATTTTGTTCTCTTACCTTTGTCCTCTCTGTCTCCACAGTCGACTAGAGATTTAGAATAGCATCTTCTTCGGAACACATCCCAAAATCTACCATGATAACATCTTCTGAAGGAAGGACGTCCATGCCAACAATTGTAATAATAACCGCAATGGGAGAAGTGATGAAAGAATCCTCGTGCACGTGGACACCACCGATAACGGTACCGATAACGATCGTGTCTATCGTTAACATCTAAAAGCAATTATATATTATAAATTCATACAATTAAATCTAATTCAACCATTTTATTTTTGTTCAATTTACCCAAAGGATTAATTGAGCGTTTACAATCTACTGATCTTTCATTAGCACATCTCAATTTAAAAGTGTCGAACATTTGACCTTCCGGGCAGCTATCTAAAGTGGCGGTGCCATTATGACAATTATAATATGATCTGCAATCATCAGGATGAGCATAATAACCATTGAGTCTGGGACAGTCAAAATCTACCTCATCCGATATCTCACTTTCATCTTCTGAAAAAAGAAAACAAAAAATAAATAAATACACTAGATAATACAGTAAAACTCGTCAAGAAAATTATAAAATATTATATACCGTAGGGATTGAATCTGGCTCCGCAATCCACCGTCTCCGCCTCCATACAACCTTCTGAAGTATCAAACAGTTGTTGAGATGGACAACTTTCCAAGTGTGGCCGACCAGCCGTACAAGAATAATATAAACTGCAATCGTGTTCGGCAATGTAATTTCCATTCTTTTTTGAAGGACAGTCGAATTCTTTCTCTGAAATATTAATAAAAAACAGTTAAAACTTTACATTTTGTTTAGTGTAAAGCAGTTTTGGAATTTATTATAAATAATCTGTTTTAGCATCGTGAATATGCAGCTAGTATAGCGACAAGTATTAGTTATTATATTTGTCGGCGTATAAGATCCATTTTTTTGTTTCATGTGTTGTAGTCGGGACCAGAGGTTTTCCTAATAATTTTAGTCTAAAATATAGAAATAGACATCTCTCCCGTACAAATTGAGTGAGATGCCTAGTGAATTTAATAGAGAGATGCGTACTTTTTCTGAAATATTATATTACGAAAATTAAATTTATTAATTTTAGAATGCTTTTGAATATAAAAGAAAGCAAACTGATGCCAATAGCGGAAAATGAGCTGAATAGGACTTAATTCTTCCATCTGAAACAGTGCGTACTAATCGTCTTCATTACTATCAAGCAAGCAAACAATTTAACATTTCATATCGTATTATTTGCAGAAGAGTTAAAGACAGTAATTTACCAAAGCGAGCTCTTGAATCAAATTGAAGGCAATGTTAGGTATCCAAAATGAAAAAAAAATGGACGTAGGAAACATATTACAGAGCATTGTGTGTATGTAGAAAATACAAAAAGTGCAAAATGTTAATTAAATTAAATGTTAAATAAAATAGGCAACTCTCCCGGGAGACGGAATGCTACTTGCCCAAAACGGACAAGCAGCATTTCTTTGCTACCACTCTGTTACGTCCAGTTTTTATTTAACTTTGTTCACTTTTATTAAAAGACAACTCTAGGCTGTATATGCGTTTTATATTTATTTCTTCTAAGTCCAGAGTTAAGCGAGTTATATGCGTTTATAAAAACTATAGGTGTCTCACTCGTTTTTACTCTATAATATATTTTCACACACTAATTCTACGAAAATTACAGTACTTTATTTTTCAATAAAGAATATTAGAAGTGTACATGTTTTTGATGCCTAGAAAATGAGGTGCGACTTATAAGCCGGCAAATACGGTAAAGAAAAGTAGTCTGAACAAATGCGATTAGTTTTAATTTTTGTATTTAATTATTCACTTTTAAATAAAAACATTGTTAACGATTTAAAGCAACATCTCCAAATACAATATTAAGTATCATATTATAGGAGACTGATATTATAAAATCAATTTTACTTTCTAATTAAATATTCTTTACGAAAATTATTTATTCGCTATCATATCATTGACAATTTTAAACAGTAAATATTGGGAAGTTAATAACTAATAATGAAATATTCCAAAAAACATTCATTAATAAAATAACAAAAGTGCATATTTTATCAACCTTTTGGGAAATTTCTATTAAATAATCGACATTGCCCTTGAATTTTATTGATAAATATTGATAGAACTGTTATATCGAGAGATACAGTAACAATGTCATCTATTTCTGATTAACTAATATCGTTGTGACCTGTGATGAGTCATGGTTTCATTATTTTGATCCGACAACAAAAATAAAGAGTGCTCCATGAAAGTATCTCATTAGCTATGACCAAAAAATGGTCTAAAGTGCAACCGAGTACAGGCAAAGTTATGCATATACAGTCGATCCCCCTATAAGATCATTGATTTTTCCGTTTTATCTGAATTACATGTTGTACGAGTCACTTAGATTTTACAAATATGTGAGCCGTTCACAGCCCGGCACACGTATTTGTAAAATCTAAGTGACTCGTACAACATGTAATTCAGATAAAACGGAAAAATCAATGATCTTATAGGGGGATCGACTGTATTGAATATTTTTTCAGAAAAATGATTTCATCTATACTCATTGTGTTTCGAGAGTTAAAACTCTGAAGAGAAGATTAATGTTTTCCAGTAACAACTGGCGAGCATTAGTCAGGGATCCTTAAGAATCAAATGAAGAGGAAAATCGCGAGAAGACGCCCTTAGTAGGCACAAAACCGTTGGATTCTCCATCACGATAACACCGTTCTATGCTTGTTTAATAAATCATTGTTGATCTGAACATCGAACTGATAGCTCATCCTCCTTACTCAGTTTGTAATTTGTTTTCTTTCCGAAAATAAATAAATAAATAAACAACAGCCGCGAGAGAGAAAGTCCAACAGTGATGAGAAGTTAATTAAACGCAACGATGGATATATTAAATAGCATGACCAAAAAGGGCCACAGAGATTTAGGGTTTCAAGATATTAATATTGATAGAATAAGTACACAGTGTAATTGAGCTGGAGAGAAAATATTTTGAAGAATAAATAAAGCGGTTTTGTTTGTGGTTATTATATTGTTTCTGTCGCTATCAGTCTGAAAACTTTTTGAATGATCTTCGTATTAAATGTAACTGATTAAATTTAAATACAAATTTCATATCCATGATGAATTATAAAAATACTTAAAATACTGACTTCAGTTACAAGATAAAAATACACTCGGTGTTTTTCTTCTCTAAAACAGCTGGAAATATCTCACATATACTATCATCAGTAAACAGTTTTGAATTCACCTTTGAAAGTCTTAAAAGAAAAAGTAAACGTGTATATTTTTTTATTCCATAAATATTTACAAGGAAAGAGTGAAAAATGAATTCTGTCTCTTTAACGTAGAAAAAAAGGGATGGTGCAGAAAAATGTGAGACACTGTCAGGTTGAAATTACTATAGATGCAATTTAATTACGAATATTTATTTACTTTTTTATTTTTCATGATCCTTTCTTCACGCAAATTCTTTCAAATCTGAATTTTTGTTGTTCTTACACTATACTAGACATTAACTTACCAGATTTTTAATGTTGATAATACAGCAATGAATACATATAATAACAATTTTAAGTGATAATTAATGTAGAAAATATATAAGATAAACATAATTAAACATTTAAAATATTTTAAAATTTCTTTCAGTTAAAATTAGATAAAGTACATTATTTAATTATCATTAAACACTTAAAATTAGCTGATCTGTTTTATTAATTAACATATCTTTCACTAATATAGATCTATTACTATTATTTGAAATTTAACTGTAATTGTAATTCATCGAAATGAAATATATAAACATAGAATATAATATAGTGTATAGTAGGCTCATATATAATGTAGTTTATAGCCTAATATATATATGATATAATAATGTAATACGGTAAATATAACGAAAAAACACTAATAATAGATAAATGTTTGATTACGAAAATTTAAATCTCATAAAATCTAAGATATAAATTAAGTTTAGTAAATTTTTATCATCATATTATAAAATATCTGAAAAATTTTGTAAACCTGAAGATATACGAGGAAATGTACAATTAAATTATTTTCAACACAAAATATAACAAAAATAAAGAAAATAAATGCAGGACATTTCATCAGTTTAATTAATATTTTATTGCAAATTTTTGGATTTAGATCACATTAAGTTTAATACCTAGACAAATTGTAATCATTTAATTCTTTATTAATAAGTTCAAATAATTTGTGTTATAATTTATAAAAAAAAACTGCATTAAAATGAAAACAATATTAAAAGTTTGGTTATTGTACCCTACCATTGTTATGTTTATCACGAAGTGTCAAGGGGGTGAATTAAAGGGGAGGAGCGGGATGTCTAGATTTCATAGTAACTTATATTTCCGCAGGTTCCTTGTGTGTAAATATAAAAAATTTGATAAAGACTGGCCAAAGAGTTTAGAAGTGTATAAAGAACGGATAGGCGAAGAGATAGCGACAGACATTATATTATATACAGACAGAAATTATTTGTAATTATGTTATGAAATTCATTCTTACCTATTGGTTTTTTTCGTTGACCGCAGTTGACTTTCTTCTCCTTGAAGCATCTTTGTTTTTTAGTATCAAATAGTTCACCCCAAGCACACGTTTTTAATTTAGGATGAAAAGCTTTGCACAAATAGTATTTATTGCATTCCTGAGGATGGGCAAATTCTCCTTCCGGAAAAGGGCAAACGAAATTATTTTTCTTCTCGGGCTCTATAATAAGAAAAGTATTTTATAGTCAATGAATATTTTTATTACATCTACTTATTTTTGATTTCTTATAAATTAGTCATGTTTAGTTATTATTAGATCAGAATAGTAAAATTTATATTTAGCTTTAGTGGAATAAATAATGAATAAGAATCGTGGTGCAACTTACCATAAGGATTTTTTCTATCTCCGCATGAAACTTTTTCGTGTGGCTGACATTTATGCTTTTTTTCATCAAATAGTTCTTCTCTGTGACAATTATGTAATCTTGCTAATTTGTAATCGCAGGAGTAATACTTTGCGCAGTTATCTGAATGAGGAAAATTACCACTATCTTTAGGGCACGTAAAATTTGTTTCGGAATCCGGATCTAAAGTATTAAATAGAGAAATTACAAATTAGTTTTATATCCTTTAAATTCAATAAAGACTTTTTAAAATATAGAATAAAAATGTAGAATATGTAGGCTATATTTTTACCATAAGGATTTTTTTTACTGCCGCAATGAACTTTGCTTTCTGGTTCGCATTTATTTTTCTTGGGATGAAACAAAGTATTTTTTGAGCATGATTTCAATTCAGCTTTTCCCGATTTGCACTTATAATAGTGAGAACAATCAGTAGGATGCGGAAATTTTCCCTCTCGTTTTACACATACAGAATCTTGCTCTTCTTTTGATTCCGAAGAAGAATCTGAAAGATCAAATGATGTACTTTATTAATGCGATTTTGATATATGCGGTAGCATTGAGAAATTAATTAACTGCGTTAATCATGGTAAAAGGATACTCCTGTATAAATATATACATGTATATACAGTATATACAGTAACATAAAATATACACTATATATTTTATGTTATACCCTTTTTTATAGCTTGTACTCTCTATTTTTGATAGTCTGTGGGCGCCGCTGCCACAAGTATCCTCTTTTCATTGGGTCATGCACTTTCTTCAAATCCACAAATGCTGCTGCAAAAACTCTCTTGTTCACACTCAAGTACTTTTCAGCAATCATTCGCAATCCAAAGATTTGATCAATACAATTCTTTCTCGCTACAAACTTACACTGAGCATTCCAGATGTTCTCCCTAGTAATTCTCATCACTCTTTCCACTAGAACTCAAACAAATATCTTTTCTGAAACGCTTAGCATACTTATTTCTCTGTAATTCTTACATTCTGCATTGTTGCCTTTCCTTTATAAAGCACAACGATAAAAGCATCTCTCCAATCATTCGGTACCTACCGTTTCTCCCAGCACAGGTAAAAAAGATTCGTCAGATATATCAACAACATATCATAGTCATATTTTAACATTTCAGCACATACTCTATATATGTACTCCATCCTCATTCTCAGCTTTTCCCAATTTTTAATTTGTAAATTGCTCTTCTTACTTCTTGTATGCTGATCTCCTCACATCCATGATCATCTTCATTCTCAGGCATCGTAACCTCACATTTAGCATCTCCTAAAAGCTCACTGAAAGACTCTCCATCTTCTCCACAACAGATCTTATCGTTTAGGGGAGATCGGGGCAACTTCGGCATGCGGGACAAGTTTGTCAAGCGCTTTTTTTTAAAAACAAATTAAAAGGAGACTTTGGTTATAGGTTAGGCAGTTGAGTTTTATTGGTGGCTTGTTGAGTGTAGTGTTTTTATTGTTCTCCAACAAGCGTAGTTGAATTATCAAGCAAATTTTCATTTTCGTTGAATTCCATATAATATTTTTTTTCCATTTATATTGAATTGGCAGGTTTTGTTATAATTCCATGATAACGAAAGTTACTTTTCCTGTTAGAAGGATGTAACTTCAACTTATTCACGTGGCCAGATCGTGGCTTGGCATTCTGTTCTCAGGGTTGTACTTAATGTTTCGAAATCATGACTAGCGGGGTAAGATCGGCAACATAAAGCCACATTAGAAGCAAAGGATAAAAATCAAACAGATGATAAATGAAAACATGTTTGCATTTGTTATTCATGTATATATGTCTTTGAACTTGCATTTCGTTGTAATAATATTAAATGGGTGTTGGATTTGTATTTCTTTGTTTTAATAGTGAATTCCAACTTATACATTGTTAATAACATAATTTTATATACGTGCCTATCTTGCCCCATTACTGTTGCCCCTATACCAGGGGCAACTTTAATAAAAATAATTAAAATAATTACAACTTTACAAAAAGAGAGAAGTTGCCGATCTTGCCCCTATACCCGGGGCAACTTCGTCAATTTCTCTCTTCTTGTAAAGTTGTAATTATTTTAATTCCAATAGACAATATGCAAAGCTTTTTTTTCAGTTTACAGCAGTATTTATTACACAAAATTTAAGTAAAGCTTAACATGCCGATCTTGCCCCGATCTCCCCTACGTTTTATGTATCCACATATGCACCACTACCTTTTACCTTTCTTTCATATATTGCCCCAAGCTTTTTGTCATCCTTAAATGCCACTTCAAATTTCTCTGCTCTTTCTTCCTCGACACGTTCTTTGCTCTCTATCACAATTTCCTAACATTTGTGGTTATACTCTCTGTACTCATCCTTACTCTCACCATTCAAATATCTCAGTTACACTTCTTGTTTTCTCCTTACAGCTTCAGCAACCTCTTCATTCCACCACGCAGTTCCTCTGGTGCAACAGGCAAGTGCACCACACGGTAAGCGGAGATTGTGGCTAACACACCCTTCTTCATAGCATTCCACAGATTTTCAGGGTTTTATCTAACATCAATACTCAGCTCATCGAAGATCATACACTGTATATCAGCTCATTAAGTATCATATATTGTATATCAGCTCATCAAATAAGAAGGATGTATCAACATACACACTCTCTCTATACTGTAATTTTTGTTCCTTCGTGCATTCTACTTTCACATGTTCTAATATTTTCCTTTCGTTGTGTTTCCTTTGTACCGCTATCCATTCATGCTCTTTTGCTGCAGTGTTCTATTCTCCCATATGTACTGTACATATGGATTGACTAATGCGAAAAGAACGTATTGGATATAAACAAATCTTTTGCAGCACATAGTTCAATCAGGTGCTCACCATTGTCATTCACTCTATCAAAACCATATCTGCCACATATGGTCACAAATGTCCATCACACACACTTAGATGCGCATTCATACCGTATCACCTAACAACATAATCGTTTCAGTTGTCTTGCATTGGCTCAAGACATCTAGCAAAACACTTCCGAATTCATCCTTTTCTTCAATCGTACTGAACTTAACTGGAACGTACACACCAACACACAGTAACCTTATACAGTACACCATACTTTTATTCTCAACTAGACGATCCTATCATTAACGCACTCATAAGATTTAACAATCTTTCAGACGGGGACTAACGTTGAGGCTCAGTCCATGTTTCCCAAACTATTTGTAGAAACACAAGAAGATACACGTAAAAAGCCTTTCCACTCATTCAAGCACTTGCCCTTACGTTTCGTTTCAGACGCACTCAATACATCTACCTTTCCTTCACACATCACATCAACATTCCATACATTAAATTTCATCTCACGTTCAAGAGGCCTCTTTCCACTTTAGTCCATTTTTAACGAGATCTTTCTTTGCGGAGAGGAGTTGTCAATCTCCAACCTGTAGAACCAGGGGCCGTATTCTGGTCACTGTCTCTGGTCTCTCGCAAGCCGGTCGCTGATTGGCTAGTCATTTGGATTAGCCAATCAGCGACCGGCTTGCGAGAGACAGTGACCAGAATATGACCCCAGGTACTCTCTTAGTCTGATCTCTCACCTGCAACCTTTCCAGCGTGGCTTACCCTGCCAGCAGCCATGACTACTGTTAAGCTTTCAGGGTCACCGAGGCACTAAACCCCACCACCACGATAAGGAAAAATTGAGATACCAGGTGAGGAAAAATAAATAAAAGGTTTTTTAATTATTAATTATCTATTTACTTTATCTTACGAATATACAAATCAATTTTCTTTTCATTCAAAGTAATTTTGTAGAAATAAATTTCTAAATATAACAGGTAAAATGGTTTCAATAAAGAAGTTCAAAAAGTAAAGTTTTGTGTAATATATCATCATATAAACATTAAAACATCAAATTTTATTATAGTAAGTTAAATCGAGAACTCAAGGACTTAAGTCTCCCCATTGACACACACACAGAACGATAGGGAAAGGTGTGGCAAGATTAGAACGTTAAGGTTTGAAAAGTCATAACTCATAAGATGGTAACCACTTTAACGAGAACAATACTTTTTTTATTCTCGGCAACTACATTTGGTAATATATAATAAAAAATTTCATTTTTGAAAACAAGAAAATTTAATATTTTAAAATTATACGTAAATGCACCATCTTGGCCCACCCATAGGGTAAGACGGGGATATTATTTTTATATACAAGAAGGACAAATTAAAATTGTTAAACTGTCGTTTTCCTCAATATTGGCACAAGAACAACGCGCCCATTTATCACTGCGGCTACATTTATTATTATTTTCCGAGTAAATAAATATAAAAGTTTGAACTTACTCGTATTTGCTTTACCAGACGATACTGTCACTTCGCGCACGCTCAGTTTCGCTATTTTGTTAGCAGACGATATTTTTTCCCGTGGAAAAAAATTTTATTTCCATTTTTATTTCACATTTTATTTCTTGTTAAGATAATATTTAAATTTTAAAAATGTTTTTATAAATAAAATAAAACGTAAAAACATAAATAATAAAGTAATACAGTATATACCGTATAAATTTATTACAGTTAGATATGATTTAAAAGTGGAATATTTCATTTTCTATAAAAAGATCATTTTTAAAATTATTATTTTATATATTCGAAAAGGTGATATAGAATTATCAATGACAACGAATTTAAAACTAGTTCGCTGCTCTATATTGCGGTGCCTCTAGCCAGCGGCAGAATTCGTGGCCAATCTTGGGCAAAATGGGGTACCCCGTCTTGCCCCCACCATCTTGCCCCAACGTGCGCTTTACCCCGGCAAACACGGGTCAACTTTATTTCAAAACTAAACAATTTCGGTCTTAAAGGTTACTTCAAATACCATAATATCTTCATCTAAAAGGTAATGTAAAAGTTCACAATAATACTTACTTTGTAGAAACTTTGTAGCGGGCGTAAAGTTAGATGAAATATTGCTTAAACGTAAAAAATTGTCTTACTTCCAAACAAAGAGAGCGATTCGGACATTCTGTTGTCTCGCCATCCCTTTTGAGTTTGGCATTTAGTTCCCCAAATAAGAGCTAGATGAAAGTGCGTTAACCACAAATAAACAGACGTCCCCGTCTTACCCCGTGGCCCCATCTTGCACCACCTTCCCCTACTAAACTTTATTTGTTCGAACTTCAAAACGTTGTTTTTAAAACATTTGTGATGGTAAGGATAGTTCAACGGACCATCCGCAATATATGCCTAATCGTCGCGGACATTTTAATAAAAGGTACAGTACTTATTAATTATCCAAACACTATTGAGTTTGGGTGTTTCTGGATTCGTTGCTGGATTACGTTCTACTTTGTAATAAACACGAAACCGTTTTCCTTTGGGTATTTGAGTAATGAATATTGGCTTCATCCTTATTCTGGAAATAACTATAGATATAATTTCTTACTACTGATATAAGTAAAATTCGATNATGGGCTAAAATTAAAAATAAAATAATAAAAACTTACTCCGTGAAATAAAATGTGTGGTGGATGTACAGTACATACCCGGTACAAAATATTCTTTAATTATATTAATAATATACTTTTAAAGAAAATTATAATTAAATATAGCTTTGTAAAGAAACGTGCATAAAAATAACATAAAATATTCTTTACTTTTTAAATTTTAAAACAATCCACTTATTCAAATAGCTCCCTACCAGTGCCTAATGGATGGAATCAGACTGTCCTGGTGGGTGCACGCACGCGGTCTACCAAATTCCCGGGGTGCCGATACCGGTCGATGTCAAATGCCTGTTTTGTCGCATCACTAGTATACCTCAAAGGACGCGACAGGGCCGTTGTAGATTTTAAACATTTCTCACCATAGTTGTAAAAATCTTAATATGTTAAACTTAGTAGTCTTTTGTTTTCTAACTAAATTCGTTTTAGGACCAGGTGTTGTCCACGGAAATTTCTGGAAATGTCCAAAATTTACAACTGTTCGGTCACTCTCGTCGAACTGGAAAAATTTCTGTCTTTATTACATTAAAATAATACGAAGAAATCAGTCTCCACTGTACTCGGCTATAGATTGGGTCGGTTAAGCTTTTGTTTGTAATATTCCGGCTCTTTCGTCAGGGTTTTGTTTACGTCCCCAATTCCCTAATCGCTTAATTATTTAACTACTACTTAAGTAGAAATAAGTCGAAACCGGTTTCTTTGTACTCGAATATTTGTAGTCTCGGGAAAAAGTGGTAAGACAAATTTTTAGGACAAACGGATACATAAATCGTAAATTTAAGAAAAATAAATTCTACAGCTTTTTCTGTACCTGGCGAATCTGTCATTCATTAAATTTAGTCGTAAATGACGCTGTCGATGTAACGGTTAATTTTTTAACATTATACAAGAATTGTACACGTTTTTTTTTTTTTTTTCTACATCCCCTTAAAGATGGGATGTACGAAATCGTAATATCACCGATTTAACATCGAAATCCGTAAGTAATATAAAATCGGAGAGCGGAATAAATATATCAAATATTTTAATGGATTTTTAAAACTCCTGTCTTCTATACAGAACTATCGTAAAATCTTATACCAGCAAATTCTTATCGGCAATGTTCCCTCTAATATTTTTTGTAGATGAGCGGAACATATACTTCTCTGAGCAAAAAAAATTTTTGCTGAGCAGATTCTGAGTAAAAAATTTTTGCCTAAAAAAATTAAAACAATTAATTGTAGAGATTAAAATTCNAAAGGTGATATAGAATTATCAATGACAACGAATTTAAAACTAGTTCGCTGCTCTATATTGCGGTGCCTCTAGCCAGCGGCAGAATTCGTGGCCAATCTTGGGCAAAATGGGGTACCCCGTCTTGCCCCCACCATCTTGCCCCAACGTGCGCTTTACCCCGGCAAACACGGGTCAACTTTATTTCAAAACTAAACAATTTCGGTCTTAAAGGTTACTTCAAATACCATAATATCTTCATCTAAAAGGTAATGTAAAACTTCGCAATAATACTTACTTTGTAGAAACTTTGTAGCGGGCGTAAAGTTAGATGAAATATTGCTTAAACGTAAAAAATTGTCTTACTTCCAAACAAAGAGAGCGATTCGGACATTCTGTTGTCTCGCCATCCCTTTTGAGTTTGGCATTTAGTTCCCCAAATAAGAGCTAGATGAAAGTGCGTTAACCACAAATAAACAGACGTCCCCGTCTTACCCCGTGGCCCCATCTTGCACCACCTTCCCCTACTAAACTTTATTTGTTCGAACTTCAAAACGTTGTTTTTAAAACATTTGTGATGGTAAGGATAGTTCAACGGACCATCCGCAATATATGCCTAATCGTCGCGGACATTTTAATAAAAGGTACAGTACTTATTAATTATCCAAACACTATTGAGTTTGGGTGTTTCTGGATTCGTTGCTGGATTACGTTCTACTTTGTAATAAACACGAAACCGTTTTCCTTTGGGTATTTGAGTAATGAATATTGGCTTCATCCTTATTCTGGAAATAACTATAGATATAATTTCTTACTACTGATATAAGTAAAATTCGATAGTAATGAAGCTTCAGGCTGTTCTGTGTTTTTATAAAATAGATTTCACCTACTTGCTGTTATCATATTCCTTTGAATGTGACTTCATCACGCGGAGAAATAAGCAAAGAATAAAGAAAGATATCGAGCAAAGAAATAAGATAACAAAAAAGCGATATTTGTCATTTTATGGACAGAGTGAGGCATAGGATAAAGAAGAGATAAAGAAGATCTTAAAAAAACGTACAAGTATCTAGCATATTGGTGCGTACAACGCAGGAAAATGGAGGCTGCACTTAAATTATTATGTAGTAAAATTGGAAGAGATTTTCGTCCAGCCATAACCAACTTAGGATGATAAAGAAAGATATATTATTTATTCTTTTATCAGGGATTACCGGGTGGCCGAAGCGGTAAAGAATGTCATCTTTAACCTCTCGTTTCGCTTTGAATATGATTTTACAATAAAAATAACTAAGCACAACTGAATTTAAAATATTTTTTTTACTTTTGAAACATTAGTTAACTTATTTAATTATATTAAACAGAAAATGCTTTAAATCTTATCTGTTGTAAAATATCAAAATTTAATAGCCGTTATTAATGCATAGCGAAACACTTTTTCCCCGAATATTTTAAACTGTTTATTTATCGGATCTGTCTGGTTTGTTCCATTGTTTTTCGTAAGATGTTTTTAATTACATTCAATAAAATCGATTATTTTTCCGACTCTTTGGTAGAAAGTAAAAGAAATATTTAAATTTGTAAACTATTTATTATTATTTAGCATAAAACTACTTTTTATGTTAAGAGATCATACTGAAAACTGCTAAATTGTATTTGTTAAGAAAAAAACAAACCTGTATCATCGAAAATCTTTCTCTTCTTACAATCGACTTCGTGTTTTGGTAAGCATTTTGACTTCTTCTCGTCAAATAATTTGCCCGAAGGACAAATTTCGTCTTTCTTTTTCTTACAATCGTAATATTTTCTGCAGTCTTTCTCGTCTGCAATTTTTATTCCGCTATATCTGCAGGCATAATGTTTCCAGGCAATGTCTCTTTTTGAAGTTTTCTGGTCTAAAAAGGTTTCTTCTTCTTGTATCAGACATTTTCCTCCTAAAATAAATTCAAATAAGTTTAATTTGATACGCAATCGTTTCAATCGCAAATCGCCGAGACAAAGTTCAAACTTCTTACCTATAACCAAAACGAAAGAAATGACGGCGATAATAATGTTTGCCTTCATCTCGGAGCAAAAGAAAGAAATCGACTATCCATTCGTTATTTATCCAATTATTTATCCGACGATGACGCTTTATTGTCGATCTAATAGTGATTATTAATGTTAATTATATTTATCTAATTGACGTCAAAAACGGAATTTATTATCGTATCCTGTTGGAAGATAAAAGTTATATTATCTTAAGTTTGCACTCATCAAGAATCTTCTCACAGGTTTATCATTTTTTTCTTTTTAATTATTTGAAATGTTTCTACTGTAAATTTCTATCATTTTTGTAATGTGTCAGTAAATTTTATTATTACTTTTCAGATTTAAAAAAAAACTTAAAATTTTTTCTAATTTGATACGCAAACTCGCCTCCTGTAACACTAACTTGTAAGAGGACCTTTTTTCCGGATTTGAGCAAGTCCACAATGGGAATAGAGGGAATCCCCACGGTCCATCACGGGTTAGGGCGAGTGCCTAACTTCAATACATCCGGAACAGACCGCCCGTGAAAATTTACTGGAATTTTTCGAACACCCGGATTCGATCAAGATTCCCCGCTCCCAGGATGTTGCAACCATCAACAATTGACGGATTAAGGAGTCAATTGTTGATGGTTGCAACATTAAATCTATATGAATTAATTTACTTGTGTTTAATGTGTACGGCGATGACTAAAAACTTCAATTTAGATATACATAAATAAATACATAATATGATTAATATATTTGGATTCCATGAATTATTTTCTATCAAAACAGAAAGACATCAATTTAGTTATTTTCCTCTTCTTTTTTAATCACTTAAAAGACATTTTCTTGTACTCGAAAGTGTTACGTATAGAAAAATATTTCTTGCTTAATTTAGAAATATTTCGACATCAAAAGGATAAAAGAAAATAGTTTTTCTAGAAAATGAGAATTATTTCATTTACAATAAGTTTTATCTATTCTAAAAAGAAATAACTTACACTTGTTCTCAATAAACTGATTACACCACAATCGCATTACACTCTTAATGATAATAATTTTATAACATTATTACATTATTCTCTTATTTACATTAGTAGAATCGGTGTTTCGGGTAATTAACTTATAAATACAACATTTTTGTCATTTTGAGCTGATAACATTCTTCTTTTACGCGATGTTATGTTTATTAATGTTTCCGCAATGTAAATAATTATGACGCTTCTTTTTATTTAGTTAATTTTATGCATTGTTTTCCCGAAAATATTGCGAGGATCGCTGAAATATCTGTGAAAAGTTAAAATTATTTTATTTTATTAAATTCAATTTTCAAGATCTTAAATAAATAAATAAAATTAATATTTATTAAATATGACTTTTTTCCCTCTAAAACACATAATCTAAGATACACACATTAATTAATATATATCAGTCGTAATATTGGTACTCAATATAATTGTAAATTTCAATATAATAATTCTAAAAAATAATTTTTTTTCTACACATTGGAGCAATACGAAACACCTTATTTCATTGCTCCTTATTTAATCTGTGTTTTTGAGCTTCAATTTGAAAAAACAAATTGTACACCTATAAATTCGCACTGTCCTCCATTTCTGTTGTCTGTCCTTCCTTAATCTCTAGAACCGAGTTATATAGATGAAAGCTGAGATAAAAATGGAAACTTTAGAGGTAGGAGGCCCCGATTAACTAACTATATATGAACTTCTAACGAAAGTCACGTTACTTCGATTCAAATATTTCCCCTTGAAAGGAGTTAGATACATGACCTATTACTAACGGAAGAGGTTTGATGTACAAAATAGTACTAATTTGAGGTGGAGAGCATTTTGAATAAAATAAATTATAAATACGATTAAAAATTGCAGTCCGGCATCGTGACCATGTCACAACAAATAATTGGTCGTTAGTGTTAATTTACTAAATTTTTGACAACACGTAATCTGAATATTGGTCAACGAGTTGTCGGTCTTCTTGCCCAACCACGGCAAAAGCAATCAAAATCAGAAAAAATGAGAATATAGCTGATTAATGAAATATCAACGATAATAACTTTTACGATCTATTTTCTAGAAATAAGAACGTCATTCTTACAGTGGTCAGTGGCCACGCATATGAATTTTGTGCAATTAGTTTCCGTTTGACAGTATTGCAGATCCAAAATGATGCATCATAGACTATAACCAGCACACTTTAAACTTGCCCCCGATCCTTTGTATGAATGCTTCTCCGCACAATCTCCTATGGCACATTACTACAGGCAAGTTTACAGTGTGCTGGTTATATGATGCATCATTTCGGGTTTGCAATACTGTCAAACGGAAGTAAATTGCACACGATTCATATGGGTAGTCAAATCACTTATTTAATATAGCCCGGCTGCATAGTTTTCTAACTTGCAATTAGGTACGTTGCGAGAATTAACCTTCTTTTATTTAATACATGAAACACTACCGGTTTTCATTATTGTTACGCTTCTTAAAAAAGAACAAAATTTAAATTTGACAAAAACCTTGTATTTACATTTTACTCGTTAAAATACTTATTTTTAAGAAAACGAAAGTCAAAATTAGGCCTACTTTTAATTATACTCTGTATTAAGGTATGATACACAAACGTACTGTGCGTTCAACTTTTTTTAAAAAATTCACAAGTCGAAGATCTTATTTTCGTGATTTTTAATTTAATTTTATTATTTATAAAAACATGCCAATTATCTATTATATATTCAATATATTTGAATATACAAGATATAATGAAAATGATTAAGGTAACAGAGGGTAAGTGTGTGCTTAAGTTTTTCGCACTTGATATAACTGCGCGGGAATCGGCTTGTATTTCTCTATTGAGAGTGGCATACTGATTAGAATGAGATGTATCACCTCTTTCTCAGCAAATATAACTTGTTATAATGAGAATGAGATGTATTTGAGTGAATGAGCTGCAGAAGTACCTCTATTTGCAAATGTACGATAACATTTTGTCTACAGTCGTACGTAATGTTTGAAATGTAAAACTTGGCTTTCCAGAGAGTTGTGAGCGAGTCACAAAGAACATGTTTACGTTAAATTGAAAATTTCGCTTTATAATAATGAAGTAACATGAACTTATTTCCTATCAAGTAATTTTGTTGGTTCCTGGAAACAATTTCTAAAATAACTCGATGTCGGCTAAGACTGGGCACTTATTTATTCACATCTACAATTCAATTTCCCTCAGTTGTTTATTATTTAATCAAAGTTTATCATCGAATGGTTTTATCGTTTAGATTAAAACTGATTATTAAATTTTAATGATTAATACTTTATTAAAGAATACATTTCGAACGGCGGGCACGAGATGTGTTCAAATTATGATGATTTTGGAGCATTTGTTTACGATTATTGCCCATAAATCCTATTTTATTTCCTAATTAATGTTTATTATTTTTATATTTGTATTGTGATCTTTGAAAAATAATTTGCTTCTATCAGTAGAATATTAAAATAAAGACCTCAATATATTTTTTAATACAGCCCGAATAAAAACCCTAAATATCTGTATTTTATTTTGTCTTATGTTTGCCTTCCCTACACAACAAAATCTCCTTGGTATAAGTTTAACTATTTATTTTCTAACTTAATCATTGCACACACTTGGCTTTATATAGGCTCACTCTTACCCGCCTGTGGGTTTATTAATTTATGTAATTGAAAATATATGCTCTCCATTTTAAATTAGTAGTGTCTTGCCCCCGTACATCATGCTTTTCCTGTTAAAAACAGAGTCGTGCCGGTCATCTATCTAACACCTTTCAGAGTAAAATTTTTGAATTGAAATAACGTTACTTCTGATTTGCCTCGGAAGTTCATATAGGGGAGACCGGGGCAAGATCGGCACGTTAAGCTTTACTTAAATTTTGTGTAATAAATACTGCTGTAAACTGAAAAAAAAGCTTTGCATATTGTCTATTGGAATGTTACCGTACTATAGAACTGGTTAAAATCAGTTTGGAAATAAAAATAATTAAAATAATTACAACTTTACAAGAAGAGAGAAATTGACGAAGTTGCCCCGGGTATAGGGGCAAGATCGGCAACTTCTCTCTTTTTGTAAAGTTGTAATTATTTTAATTATTTTTATTAAAGTTGCCCCTGGTATAGGGGCAACAGTAATGGGGCAAGATAGG